CTCTGTCACCCTCAGAGGGAAGAAGTTCTTCCTCCTGTTCAGACGGAACTTCCTCTGCTTCAGTTTGTGCCTGTTGCCCCTTGTCCTGTCACTGGGCACCACTGAAAAGAGTCTGGCCCCGTCCTCCTGACACCCACCCTGCAGATATTTATAAGCATTTCTAAGGTCCCCTCGCAGCCTTCTCTTCCTCAGGCTGAACAAGCCCAGCTCCCTCAGCCTTTCCTCGTAGAAGAGATGCTCCAGTCCCCTCCTCATCCTCACAGCCCTCCGCTGGACTCTCTCCAGTAGCTCCTCATCTTTCTTGAACTGGGGAGCCCAGAACGTGGCTTGAAAGCACCTCCACACCCCAATGCCAAACCTGACACCGGCACCTCGACCTGCCCTCAGCCTCAACACCCCTGCTCCCACGCCCAGCTCTGTTCCTGCTGTGGAACTCACCATCTGTTCTTCCAGCCCAAGCCTTCCCGTCCTCCCAGGCGGACGGAGGGGGCCAAAGCCATTCCTTAGCCCTGCTCACCAGCCCAGACAATCTCACTTCCACATCTCCTCACAGAGCTGCATGGAGAAATCAAGTGAAGAAAAGCCTGATGTGCAGGCTAGCAGCTAAGATGCTTGAGAGTGGAAGAAAAGCCTTGGCTGGGGAGGCCCGCCCCCCGGGTTAGAGTGGAAGAAAAGCCTTGGCTGGGGAGCCCTGCTCCCCGGATTACAAAGCCTTTTAGCTAATGACTGTTCAACATGCAACACAAGCAGCCTCTGGAGGAAGAAACAGAGATCAGGATCATCTTCAAAGTGAAGGAAGAAGATTTGTTTCACCATGTGGGCTCACAGCTACTACAGACTCTGCTTCAGGCTAGGCAGAAAAGCAGGGTCTGCACAGGATCACCCTGCTCCCCTGTGAGTGGTTTTGGCCATGAGCTACATTGGCAGTGAAGAGAAGCACCTTCACCTCTTTAGGGCAGCAATGTTAACCTCTGAACGCTACCTGGCTCGGGATACGGGCTAGGGTCATACAGACAAAGTATCTGTAAGCATGAGGCAGGGCTTGATGCGAGCTCACTAATGCCAGGACCTGGAAAGTCCAGCAGGCTCACAGCACAGAATCAGGCACAGAGGGGCCCTTCAGTGCCCACGAGCCTGGCAAAACCCACGCTGAGGAAAAAGTTGATGTGAGCACTCTGATACGGCCTAAAGCACCCAAATCCCTTTGTGCATACATCCAACAGCTTCCCTCTGTAAAATAAAACTGAACAGCTCCCTGATGACACCGTGCTGAAAGGGACAGGAAATTAAGAATAAACAGCACATTTCTTAATGCATGTTATGAAAAAAACCAAGTTTCATACGAAGGCACAGCTTCCTGTCTGTACAGATCCCGTGGCTGTCACCACACCTTGTGCCAACGCTCTTATTGCGAAGGACCCCACATCACTTGTACTGAAGCAGCGGCACCAACCTCCGAGCCGGTCTGATACCAACCAATTTCGCTCCAGACTTCAAGGCTGGAAATACCTCAGTACGCTCTGTACTATAATACACTGCACCCAGCTTTTCTTGCAGGAGCACAGACTGGTGGCTACATCTTGTTTTGGTACACACAAGTCCTCTTTCTTCTTCCTTCCACAAAGATAAACCATCTCTCTCTGGAGTAATTGGTTAATTTGCCTTTCTATTACTCTTTGCTGGAAGAGTGAAGACAGGAGATCTGTTAAGTGAGAATCAGGATGCTATTGAACCATTTTTTCCAGCTAAATCATCTTGCCCTGTTCAGGCTTCAGTAACAAGATCACATTTCTTGCCTAGAAATCACCTGCTTAGTTATAATTACCATATCAATAGCATCTCAAGGAAGCCAGGAAAGGAGAAGCCAAATTTCCAGGACTAAGCTCTCGCCATCCAGCCCACTGCTAAGTGGCCGAGTGCTTTCTAAATCAAGCCTTGCTACCCAGGCAGCCTCACCTGTCACCTTTAGATTCCAGTCCCTCTGTATTTTATCACTTTGGTACTGTCATCCTGCAATTTATTACAAAAGCTCTACCATAGCTGATATAATTCATAGGAGCCTAGTGTTACACCTTCCTGTTCTTTCTTTTAATAAGCTTCAGCTGGCAGCAAGACAGACCAAGCTCCCTTCCAAGGGTCTGCTGGAGATTCCCCAGCACCACATACTAAAATTCACAACTGTGGCTCCTGCCTTAGGTATTTACAGTACTATTCTCCCTTTCCCAGCTGCCTCTCCCAGCATCTGATCTCTGCTATCCTAACTTTGCAACTCCCTGTTCACTCTTTTCCTGGCATCTGGACCACATCTCACTTTGGTCCGCAACGCATCAGAGCCTCCCTGCAGCTAGGGGGAAAAGCAGCAGGCAAAGGACGACGCGGGGATCCCCAGGCCAGGAGCAAGCAGCCACGGGTGAGGTCGGAGCTGACTCTGCCATGGTGAGTCCAGAGGAGCAGGTCAGTGAAGCAGGACCACTCTTTAGGAGCTATGTCAAGACCTCATCCCAAGTTCATGGGAATCCTAGGACGACTCCTACTGATATCGGATTGTTTCCACACACGGTATCTTACTCCGCAGCAAATGCTTGGACGTGCCACTTAGCTTTCCTTTACAGGCTAGGGTAAGACAGAATGAACAGTTCTGTACTCCCCAGGGGCTCAAAGCACATGAACCTGACACGCAGCGATTTGTTCATCTCCCAGTTAACCTCACACCCAAGCTGGACCGAGGGGCCCTGCCAGCATCCCTGAAAAACACCCTCTCTCCCTTTCTGAGCCATCCCTAGCTTCTGCAGCATCAGCTCGCAGCGCGGAGCACCGGCTGTGCGACATTCACATCCCAACCAGCTGCCGTCACCAGCCAGGACGCCGAGAGCTTGGGCACCAGCCGAGGCATCGGAAATGCTCCTACGAACCTTGATCCAAAACAAGCCCATTTAATCTCCAAGCCTTCTCAGTGAAACACTTACATGTGCTCATGCCCAGTTCTCATGAAGGAGTTTCAACCTCTGGAAGGACATAAACATTAATCGAATTCCAAGATGCCAGACTGGAGACAGAGAACCAACCAAACACAGCAGCAGGCGGCAGGAATCCCACCACCCCTCCACCTCACCTGGGCTGGCTCCAGCCTCACACCCAACCATCCACACATGGCCGGCTGCCAGAGTAGTAAATATTCCTTAATTAGTGGATTACCACTGTAATCCTGCAGCACTGGCTGTGACCCTGAGGCCGTACGGAGCAGGCTTGGGCTTCATCAAGCTATTTCCCATCCCTCAGTCAAGGGGCAAGGCTGGACAGCACGTTACAAGCAATCTGCACCCTCCTGCGGCAGTCCAGCCTTGGTATTTTCCCTAGATGTCCACAGGAATCGCTTCTCAGAAAACAACCTCCGGATTTAATATGCAAGGAAAGCATAGTGAGTGCGAGTTCGCTTTGCAGCCACTTCATGCTAGGCCATCTGTGGCATTTCTCATCATCAGCCTTCGCAGCGGTTTATAGACAGAGCAAGAATAATCTCACCCCTCACTGACACACCGTGCAACGCACAGATTTAAGGCCAAAACACCCATAGGCCCACGTGCCAGAGGAGGGGGGCAAGACCAGCAGTAGCCAGGCAGGCAGCCTCCGTCCTCCCCACATGTAACGCACAGCCTGATGCAGGCACATCTTCGTCCCATGGGAGGGAGGGAGGAAGGAAGGAATTCAGGAAGTTTCCTCTCTCAGGACGCAAAGCTTGCTCCCTGTCCAGCCCCGGGGGAGGAGGAAGAAGGGGCTCCAGCTCCCCGTCCCCAACATACAGAGACCGCTGCAGCCTCCGGGTGTGCCTCAGCCAGCACAAGAGCCCCCGCTTTGCCCCACGGGCACCCCCACCCCTAAAAGCCTCTCCAAAAAAGCAGTTTCCTTGCAGGCGAACGGATCCCACAGGAGGGCGAGCACAGCCGACTGCCAGAGGCTGGGCAGAACGGAGGTCGCCTCTCCCCCCTCCATCAATGGATGCCCCCAGAACCGCTGTGTGGGGCAGGGGCCGTCCCCCCTCCCCCCCCAAGCTCCCGGGACCCTGAGGCTGAGCAGCCTCGGTGCACCCGCACCAAAAGCCACCCTCCATATTTCACCCGGGGAGGGGACGCAGTCACCATCACCCCAGCACAGGGGTGGTCACCAGCATCCCCCACCATCCCCAGACCGCAGGGGCTACTCACATGCTGGATCCCCGCTGCCAGCCGGGCTGTTGCCCTCGTTCCCCAAGCAACAGGGCCTCTGGGCCAGCCCAAACACCACCATGGCAACAGCAGGGACGCGGAGCGGGGAGGAGGCAGCCTGGGGACACAATGGCAGCCGTGGAGGCAGAGAAGATACGGGGATGCTCCGCACCCAGCCACAGAGGGGACATGGGGATGCTCCGCACCCATTCGGACCCCACAGAAGAGCAGTGGCTGCCTGCCATCCCCCTGCTCCGGCACAGCCGAGGAGAGACCCAGAAAGCGTCACAGGAGCCCAGGCCTACCAAACCGCTTCTGAAGCTCTCACAGCTTCAGCAGGGCGCTCCCACCCAGCTACTCCTGCCCCAGGACAACAGAGACCAGCTGCGCTTCCCTCATTTCTCGGGGCGCAGACACCAGAGATACCAAGCTAGCAGGGCCTTATCTCAAAGCAGTAACAGAAGCTCAGAGAAAGAATACAATGACCATAGCAAGCACGCAGTAAAACTGCCTCCAACACACACCCCCAGCTTCAGCGCAGCCACATCCCTAGGTGCCTTATCCTGAAACAGAAGCAGTCAAAGAAACACACAGCAGAAGCCAAAGGATTTTTCCCGGGTCTATGACAGCAAGCTGGCGTGCAGGACTGGTCACAGGGAGAGCCATGCACCGCCTGGAAACATCCTGCATGTCCATAGACCCTAAAAATCAAGTCTCACACAACAGAGGTGCCAGCACTGCCTTCAAAAGGGACTATCTGCTTTTCTCTCCTGCACGCTTTGTCATGACCTGGATCCCAGTTCAACCAGCTCACCTGTTTTGCTGGCACCTCGCACCAACCAGCCTGCCCATGGCAGAGCTCTTGGCACAGGCTGACACCGATGCACAAAGCAGCACAACCCACCTTGTCATTCGCAGGGAAGCACGGTAATAAATCAACCCTGAGAAGCACAGCCCAACAGACACAGCTCTACACTCTCTACCGAACCCAGGCTCCCCCTCACCCCCTCACTGAGGGGCTCTGAGCTCCATCCACCTGCGGTCTGCTCAGAGAGACACATTTCACCCCAGCACCTCTCCCCAGTGCTCCTGTGCAGGGTCTGACACACAGCTAAAGGGAGGTCAGTGCTTGCTGAGTTTTGCTCCAATCCCTCATGTTCATTTCCAGGCCAAAGATGCTTCCGCAACTACGAAAACAGAACAGGTTGTTTCCACCACAGCAGATAACTGAAGCTGCATAAGATGACAAAGAGCAGCATTTCCAGGTCAGGTATCTGGAGATTAATTCCTGCTTCATAGCGAGCATCACTGGTATTTCACCAAGAATCACTCCAGGACACCTCGAACTCCGAGCCTTGGGCAAACGCCACAGGACTGCAAAGTGTGAAATAATTATCTAGAAGAACATGGTGCCTAGTCACCCTCCCCACACTGCCTCAGACAGAAAGGCTCCTGTCTAAATAACCAGACCTGGGAAGACCCACAGTCATTACCATGCTTCACCCAGCAGCCCTGTGCTCCCAGGGAGCAGCAAGCCTTCAGGCAAGGCTCGCCCTGGGCCACAGGAAAGGTACGGAGTGCAACACCTGGTTCTCGGCCATTTCCAAGGACCGAGCAAGAAAATACAAATGCATGCAACAGAAAGTCACCCCTTGTACACAGCCCATCACCCTCTGGTGCCATCAGCATGAGCAATGACTTCAGCTCTCCCTCCTCCCACCGTGCTTTGACCTTGGAGTTACACGCTACCTATGGGCCAATTCATTTTTCCCTTATGTTCCCCAAGCTGCTATGGAGATGAGCATGTCACTGATGGAGGGAAACACAGGGCTCCGAGGTCAGGCAGCCAGGGCCAGACGTGGCCAGCAGTTCTTCCTAGTCACTGACTTTCCTCCTCAGCCTCGGATCAGCCAAGGGCGGCTCATTCACCCCCATTCCACCAGGCAGACATTGTGATATGGATACCACAGCCTGGTTATTTCACTCATATTTTCTCACCTAGATGAAGACCCAGCAAGATCTCATACATGTTGCACAAGGTTTAGGCAGGCTTCTTTTCCTAGACAGGTTCGATCCAAGGTAAAGCAGAGTCCACAGCAGAAGAGAAGCCTGGGACAGGGGAGCTCAAACACACCAGACACGGAGAAACATCTCCTGACATTTTTTGATGTACATGCCTTGACTCCAAAGCCTTTTTCTCCTTGGCTCCTCTTCCCACATCCCAACTGCCATACGCAACTCCCTCATCTCATATCTCCACCTGCTACGGCCAGGCCCTGGGCTGGACATACCCAAGCCCATCAACTGGAGGGCAACCACAGCAGCACACACAGCAACACAGTTTCTCACTCCGGAAATTCCAAATTGGAGCACCAAAGAGGCCACCGCTTGGTAAGGGGACACCAAGGCAGTCTGCAGGAGCTCATTTCGGCCACCCAGGCTAGCGAAGCACAGCACCCAGCGGGCCCCAGCTCCATCCCTGGCTCAGCCAGGCTCTTCAGTCTCCCCGCAGTGCCCGTCACTCCAGGGAGAGCCTGGGCAACCCTCGCACAACCTGCTCCCAGCCCGGAGGGAGGTACCCTCCCTTTGCCAGGGCCTTGAACACCTAGACAAAACCCTGGCAGGTGGCAGGGAATAGCTGATGCAGCCCTGTGATAGGGGAGCTGCAGATGCTGGGGTGATCGAGCAGGCGAGGACCATTGCTCTCTGCACAGCGCGGCTTTATTTGATTCTCTCTGCTTTTGCTCACAAAGCCCTTGGGGAGGCTCTGGCGTTTTGCAAAACACACACCTTCTGCCAAAGCTGCTTCATTTCTGATGGCAGGGAAGGCGAACCCTGCAGGTCATTACTTTTTCCAGCTAACGGGAACTCTGAGGGACAGGAATACACTACATTCCCAGCAAGCGCAGAGGGGAGACGTCACTGCAGCCAGACCCCCGTCAGCTGCTGAGCACAGGGAGGCCACAGCCAGCTTGGCCCATAGTTTCTTCACCATAACCATGGCTCTTGATTGCTACAGACTGCAGGCAGCCCTGCCAAGCTGCCATTTCTGAACAGCAACGGTCCCAAAATCAAAATCATTATGGGTGTACGTACTTTGCAATCCCACATCCACGCTTCAGACACCCTGCCTGATGCAGAAGACTGCAGCCACCGCTTTCTGACCCAGCTCTGGGCTTTACCATGCTTGGAGATGGAGAAGTTGGAAGACAGACGACGTCTCTCTCAGAGCTTGCTGCCCAGGTACACGTGCGTAGCTGAGACAGGGAAGCGGAGGGAAGACCAAGTCTCCTTCAGGCTTTTTCCTCAGGACAGGGCCTATCAGTTCAAAGGAGGCTTGCAAGCTAGCCACAAAACGAAGCATCAGCCACCTCCCTCAGAGGAGACCCACACTTTCAAAAGGAGAGCCCAGAAGCTGAAAGGCACACCACCACAGATGCTCAGGACCATGGGCTCAGAGGAGGTACAGGGTTCGCATCGCTGCCCCGTCTCCTTAATTCCTGGGGTTGTCCAAACCCATCTCGGCTCCTACAGGGACCAGCTAGCCCCTCTTCCCTCGCCAACACTCTCTGCCCCACCAGCTCACCTCTGTTTTCTTTCAACTGTCACCATTAAGTCCAGCTCGGAGCCACCATTCCCAACTCACACTTGGCTCTCAGTTGGCTGCCTGCATTCCTGACTCAAAGAAGGACCCGTCTCAAGCAGCACAGATGGCAGCTGGTCCCGAGAAAGCAGAGGGGGCATCGCACTTACACACAGCCCAACACAGAAGCAAGCCAGGCACCTCGGTGCTTCAGGCAAGCCACCCTTCTCCATCCCAGCAGGGTCTGACCAAACCAGCCTGTCGGCCCTTCTCTCCTTAGAGGCACAGATAACTCTTCGTCCACACAGGGAGCTGCTCTGCAGGGCTGAAAATCCTTCCCCCCGCCCCCTGGGAAATGCTGTTCACACAGCTCTTACCCTCCTGCAGAAACAAACCAGTGTACAGCCAAGGGCAAAGGGCAGGCATCTCGCATTAACAACCTCTCCTTTGCTGCCCAGCCAGCATCCCCCACAAGCCCTGCTGCAGGCTCCGAGACGAGACCTGATGGCACAGGCACTGTCTGCCTTCCAAACACCAAAACCAGAGCCCCTGGGGACGTGTCAAACAGGCTCAGCAGAAACATCTCTCATCATCGCTGCGCTCGCCAGATCAAACCCACAGAATAACCGGACACGTTTGGTGCCTGGCAGGGGACACAAAAGCCACAGCAAAGGCAAAGACCAGGGCTGCATGGAGAATCCAAGGAGGGGAGGGATGGGCTGGCACAATCAGGTGGGAGCATTCGCTACCCCCATTTTCACCCGTGAAGGAAGAACTCCAGCACTCGAAGAAAGGACTGACTGCAACACACAGTCTTTTTAGATGCCATCAAAACATTTCCTACCGAATAACTGGAGTGAGATCGCTTCCCTAACTGCAGCCTCATAAAGCCCCAAACAGGCAGCCCACAATCCTCCTTAGTCCAAGCAGAGTTCACATTTGTCGTCTTCTGAGAAGAAAAATAAAGTTGGCTCCTTTTAGCCATGCTTCCCCAGCCGCCCTCCAAGCAATGCAATCCCAGACTGCAGGGGAGAACATGGATTTTGTTGGTAGCGCAGACCTCAACGCACAGCCCTGCGTTTGCTTTCTCCCTTTTTATTCCCATGTTGGGAATCAATTTTGTTTCCTCACTTTTTGCTTAGTTTACATCTCACTTTCAAACCCCGAACCGCTGCTTTACTCCTTTTCTAAATCAAGGCAATATTTCAAATGCCTACATTTTGGAGACCCTGACTTAAGCCGTGCAGCCATGAGATCTCAAAAGAGTAAATTGGTTTTTCCTCACTGCTTTTTAAAACAAAGTCCTCAACCCCAACAACTGCAATGCCTCCTAAGTTTTCTTTTTCCTTAATACTATGAAACCATTCAATCCAGCCAGCTATCTTTGGGTAAACGCAGAAGAAAATCCACAATCCTCAAGAAGTTAACCACAGCTCGAGGGAAATCTCTGGCGTGGAGGTTAGCAAGGCAGTAACCGAGGCTGTGACCACCAGGAGACC